AAACGCAATTCAAACGTAATTATTATAGTAAGTTTTTAATTTGTTGAGAACATTCTTGTTGGGGTGTCACTCACCTGCTAATTTTCATGTTATCAATTTTTTCTTAGTTTGAACTCTTGTCTCGCTTTAAAAAAAAAATCCCGCAAACCGGCGAGGGCGTGAGAGTTACATGAAATTCTAATTATTGCCAGGTGACTTGGTGAATTAGGAATATGCATTAATTATATGTGGCTGTAACTCTTCTCATACGTCTGCTTCTAACTGTAATACATTGTTAATGCATTCAAAGACAGCGTTGGTGCGAGTAAATAAATATGTCATTAACTTTTTTTATTGGTGTTTTGTAAAAACTAGACGATAGTTGAATGAAAAATGTATTCTTCTCAAATATGAACTCATTTTCAAACGGAATCATTTTGAATTTAACACGAGATCAATTTTTATATTGAAAAATATGTTTTATGAGTGCAATATTCATACCTGCCGAAGCTATTCGATAAGATCTGTTGCTGCTGTTTGATACTATGACGCGGAATACGTCATCATAGTATGGAATGGGTTTGTTGATTAAATTCATTGACGATTGTGCGATCGAAAGACCAAGTTGTTTTGAATTATTGGTATGCTCGTGAATATTTTGAGAATGAATTGGAAATTATCATGTCAACAAATTTTAAATTGGCAAAAAATTGTGATTTTTGGTTTTATTTGTTTGTTAGTCTATCAGAAAATTTTTAAAAATTTGGGGTAAGAACTTTCGCTAATAAATTTTCTTTTTTTTTTTTGTTCTTCAACGCCAAACTTTACATCAAGTTACTTTTGTACAGAAAAGAAAAATGAAAAATTTGAAGAATATGACAAGATTTTTCTATTTTCAGTTCCTCTGATCGAAGTACCAAATCTTTATTGTTCGAAAATTGGCCATTTCATAGTGGAAAATCGCTATGTGCTGCAAATCCACCGAATTTAACTGGTGCAATTGATGTCGATTTAGAGGTCGAGTCCATTGAAGCAATTAACCAAAGATTTGGTCACCTATTGAAGCAAGGTGGATTTTATGCGCCAAAAAATTGCACCGCAAGACATCGTGTTGCTATCGTTACACCGTTTCGTGATCGAGCAGATCAATTACCGATCTTTTTGAAAAACTTGCATTCACTATTGATGAAACAACAGATTGAGTATGGAATTTTCGTAGTAGAACAAACACCCGGCCCCCAATTTAATCGCGGCACTCTCTTCAACGTTGGATTTGTTGAGGCTATGAAAATGAGGCGATGGGATTGTTTCATATTTCACGATGTAGATCTGATTCCACTCAATGATCACAATCTTTATACTTGCCCAACGAAAAATCCACGACACATGGCTGTTTCTATGAATACATTTGAATATGTGTGAGTAGACGAAAAGTTAACAATTCTAAATGGAATCGATTTAATCCATTTTTGCACACAGACTACCATATGATGAATATTTTGGCGGAGCGACTGCATTTACTGTTGAACAATTCAAAAAGATAAATGGACATTCAAATTTATTCTGGGGATGGGGCGGTGAAGATGATGATGTTTTTAATAGGTGTGTAATAGTGCATTTTTCAAATTTCAATCATAATTTTACGCAAATTATTACTTTTTCGATGCAAAGGGTCGTGAATGCCAACTATACCATCGAAAGGTATCCCAAGGAAATATCCAAATATATCATGCTTTCACATGATGTTCCGGATAGTAATCCAGATCGGTAATTATATTTTCTCGGATAATCGCAGTCAGTTTATACTTATTCATTTTTGTTTGTTGCAGCTTCAATGTCTTACACAAAGCCAAATTTATTTACAAAACAAATGGATTAAATTCAGTAAAATATCATTTAAAAAATCTTCAAATCAAACCAACATATACTTGGATACTTGTTGATTTAATTCCCGAAGAGGTACTTGTGTATTTTCGAACCAAAAATACAACTTTTTATGCAACTAATGTATCTTTTCAACATTCGATTTTAGATGGGCGGAGTATCAGAGCAACGATCTCGTATTGTATAAATTGCGGCCATTTTCAAGTGATGACCATTTATTTTACCTTTCATAAAAGAGAGACTGAGCCCCACCATGTGGGATTTCAAAGAAATTTGAAAAAAAAATTACCAAATAAAACTCTTTTATTTCAAGTGCCGTTCTTGTCTTATTCATTCGATAAACCTACGAAAACAGCTTTTCCAAGGTCATTTTTGATGAAATATGTTTTTCAAGTGAAAAAAAACTCATACACTCATCAGAAACGGTATAGGTATTGGCATGCAATTTCACATCGATGTCTGATAAGTAATATATTGGTATATTGATACTATTTTGAATACAGTACGCACTCACGCAATACTTGACTTACAAAACCACCTATCTGACATCAATTCCCTATTTTGAAAAATATTTCGAGACACTTTGCTCTTTCGAGATTTATTTTGTATGAAAACTCTCATTGGAAATCATTTTTTCCACATGGACACGGAAACCCCTGGTAGAACATACCTTTGGGTGAGGCTGGACAAGAAAAATTCTTTCTATTTTATAGTGTTTTTGTATATACCGTCCTAACTTTCAGACCGTACCCATGTATGTATGACTCAGCCATAGACTAGTGGTTAGCGTGCCAGGTTTGTGAGCATGAGGACACGAGTTCGATTCTCGGTCAAATTATTTCCGGTATTTTTCCACCGTGATTCGCTCAGGGATTATAAGTGGTTTAATGAGGAGAAATTTGAGCCGGGTCTCGGACTTGTGGAGTGCTTCGGAGGGCACTTAAAGCCCTCGGTCCCGTGTGTGTGCACAACAAATAATGGGTTCAGCATAGACACACGTAAAATGGAGTGCCTTTACGTTAGGTTGGTGTCTTGGATATGTCAAATATCCAATACGTCAACCGTAAAAAGGTAGTGCTGAACATTCCTACATTGAATAGAGGAACCCAGCGCCATCTGGAGTATGGTAGAGTTATGAGTGTTCACAACAACTGCAGTGAGTTGGGTCCTAAGTGAAGCAATGGTCTAGGCCCTGCCGAACAGCTATGGTCACAGAAGGGCCGTGCCGAACAGCAAGGGCGACTGTGCCGAACAGATGGAACCCCGGCAGTCTAGCAGCATCATAACTCAAACGGGCGTCTTGCAATAGGTAAATTAACCTGAGCAACGAGAAACTATGGATGAGTCAGCTTTATACTATTGGCAGTTTCTATCATAAAGAGGTTTTTCTGAACAATGAATTTGATATGTGGTATTTGTTCTTCTATAAATGCAAAAAATTGCCCGAAAATAATACTTTGAACACTCGAAGTGCGCAAAAGCTGATATCGAGAGTTGACTGTATTTAAATTAGAAGTAAAACAAATGTTATACCTTACTCGATACAGTTCATTTGTTGTGCTACAAAGCATCAGTTAAAGGTTACAAACACATTGTAAAATATACCAAAATTACTATTATTGTAGACACCGACTCCAAAATATATGGTATCAGACCAATTTTCGATTACATATTCAAAACATCAATTTGTCAGATACTAGTCGAGACTTGAAGCACACTACAAATCAACAACAACGTATATATGTGGAATGTAAACAATATGGTAAGTCTGTGTCTATTGTTCCAAATAACGAACGATATTATTATATAGCAAGCCCGAAAATTCATATGTAAATGGGATATTCAGAGTAAACAAAGTTGAATTCTAATTCATATGGAGCTTTGTATATGCCAACGTTTAATAAATTTTCGATCACTTACGTGTATAGCAACTTACTGCCAAATAGAATGACTCCGTCAAACGTGAAGAAGTAATACCGATTTGGCAGATAGAGAAAAATCTGTCGTTTTTGTGTGAAAAAGTACCCAATTAAAAGTCTTTGTTGATGTGAATTGACTTTTTCAACTTTAAACCATAAATTGATTGAAATTCATTTTAAAGCAACAAAAAAATCCAATCAAAACTTCATGTGAATACGATTTAGTGGTGAACGTGACAACATTCTAAAATGGCTTTTATCCGACGATTGCATCGGATCGAGATTATCATTTTGTGTGCCATTCTTATGATGCTCATTTTAAATTTTGTTTACTTTCAACGGCTTGAAGTTAAATTGGATGCAGTGAACTATTTATCGAAAATTCCAATGGGGTAAGTTCATTCACTCATATACACGTGTGTACGGAAGTCATGCACATTCTCACTAAATCAAATTTGTTTTCTCCAAAAACCCAAGAACATCCGATCGGACCAATGAATTTGAATGGCCATCGATACCAAATTCATTGGTTGAAAAGTGTGTGAAGAAAAAGGCAGTTTTTGGTCCAAAGCAAAAACCATCTGGAAATTCCTCTTTTACACCGAACAACTCTCACATTCATCAAATGAACGTCAGCTTAGATCGAAATTTGCACAAAAAAGCAATCTATGACTTTGACGACTACGAGTACAAAAATGTAATTGAACGACCACCGCTTCAAAACAATATCACTTTTGTACCATTGATGACCCCTTCGCCTATTCCATCAACTACACCAGAACCGGTAGTTAGAACACCGCCACTCAAAAAACCCAAAACTCAAGAAGCCGAAAAAAGTCAAGTATCGAAAGAAACCATGGTTTCCGAACCGGATATGTGTCCACAAGTTCCACCAAATTTGAACAGTGATATTCAACCGGATACAAGCGACGAGCCAATTCATGATATTGAACGAAAACTCAGCGAAATTGTGTATTCGGGTGGCTTTTATTCGCCATCCAAGTGTAAAGCACGACAAAGTGTTGCCATTATTGTTCCGTATCGGAATCGACCTGAAGAACTGGCCATTTTCCTCAAAAACATTCACCCATTTTTACAAAAACAACAACTTGAGTATGGCATTTTTATCGTCGAACAAACCGTTGGCACCATATTCAATCGGGCCATGTTATTGAATATTGGCTTTTTGGAAGCGAAAAAAATTCGAAAATTTGATTGCTATATCTTTCATGATGTTGATTTGTTGCCGTTGGACGAACGAATTTTGTACAGATGCTCTGATAATCCAAAACATTTGGCCGTTGCCGTTGATATGTTTGGAAATGAGTAAGGAAATGATACTCTTCTCAGAAGAGAGCTTTGGGAATCATACTTAATTTGATATTTTTTTGTATTTTATACCAGGTTGGAGTCACAGAACTCATTGAGCGGTGTATTAGCTGTGACCGCTAAACAATTCGAAAAAATGAACGGGTTTTCCAATTTATTTTGGGGATGGGGATGTGAGGATTTGGATCTTGCCAATCGGTGAGTTTGCCAAAATATTTGTTGAAAACCAACTAAGATCGAATTAAGCGGAAGACAATTGATTGTTGTAACTTCGATGGGTTTTTTGCTGTTCACAGTGTGTTTTTTTACTTTTCCGCACACACCACTATGTGCAGTGGGGTATTTGATACATGGCGAAGATCTTGGATCGCATGATATATGTTTCAATGAAAAGTTGATGTTAAGAAGGGTCCATCCACCCGTTAAGAAAGCATTACAAAGCGAAAAAATGGTTCCGCCTCGGCCATGACTTATTTTTTTTTTCTTTCAAAAAAAAACCCCTTTCTCACCTATATATGAATCCCATGCTCAAAATATCTCTCAAAATGTCTTTCCAGATTGAAAAAAGCTGGCTACAAAATTGAGCGATGTGATTCGGCCATAGCACGATATAAAATGATTGGAAATGCAACAGTTGAGCCCAATACCAAGCGGTAACTCAAAATTTGACTTTTACTTTTTATATAAATTATTTTAAGTTTAAAACCCCAAAATATCAACCCTGATTCAATTTCAGATTTGAGCTCCTGAGCGATGGTCCCAACAAATTCAATACGATCGGCTTGAATTCAATTAAATACACTGTTCAATGTATCGAAGAATCTCCAGCTTACATGTGGATTTTTACCACGCCAAAGCCGGAAGTGGTGAGTCCATTGAATTTGAAATTAAAATGATTTACCATTTTAAATGAAATGACTATGTTTCCTTTATTTCAACAAAAAAGCCTGGCACCGGAAGTAATGTGGAGCAACTAGGAATCAAGTGAACACTTTTCTTTTTCAGAATTTCACAGAATTTATTTGCAATTGTAGTTATTAAGAGTCTCAAATAATAATAAAATCATTCGACATCCTAAACTTTGAATCATCATCTTAATGTAAATATCGTGTCAAATTGGCGACCCAATCATCGTTCAACACTTTTGAATATTCATGTGAATTTTCCAATTCGGTGGAAAATTCGTCGGTGAACAAAGTTCCAACATTAAATGTTTCATTAATATGTAAATACGGGCCCCAAAAACCTAGATATGGAAAAATTGAAAGTTTTTGAAGAGCAACACAAAAATCGAAAAGTAGCTTTGGTACTTGTCATTGACGGCCAACGAAGTGTTGACGTTTTGAATTGCGGCGTGCCGGTTTCCGCAAATGATGCCCATAAATCAACCATATTTCGTGCCATTTCAGTATCAGCTGCATTCAAATGCGCTACTTTGTCCGGATATGGGAATAAATAAATCAAGTCGTCGGAATGACTGACGCCACCATCAAATGGATATTGCGAAATGTCTTCTTCATAACCAAATCTAATTCAAATTTATTCAAGAAATTGTCAAATTTAATTTTATTACAAACCATCTCTCTCAAAGCACCCGCAAGCGGATGCATTCAAATTATTTGCTTTTTACCTCGAATACGCGCCACGATAATCAAACGAATATAAATATGTTCGATTTGACATAAACAACCAATTCACTTGTGCCAATTGTAGGACGGGGTTTTTGAAACCAACCGTGCCGGATAACTAAAGAAAAGTCGATTAAATGCGAAAAATGAAAAAAATGAGAAAAAAATGTAAAAAAAATACTTCAGAAAATCCCGGAGCATAGCTTCGAAAATGGAAATTGTCGTTTTTGATTTGGACGGCAAATATATTTTTCACCAAATTTAACACCTTCTGCTTGTCGTCTGGCACACCTACCGGTAAAGGATATAACTCAAATTAAGCAAAAAATGTGAAAAATTCAATTATCCTACCCAATGCATTGACGGTGGCGGATATAAACTTATTTTTCATCAGCCACGCTTTGTTCGACAAAGACAACGAATTTAATTGATCGTAAAGAACTGAAACGGAATATTTTATATTGAGCTATTGATTTCACGAATGAAAACGATATCTTTTTCAGAGAATATAGGCAAAATCAAACAAAGAAAATACAAATAAACATAAGCCCAAAGGGTCTCGTTACGATTCTAATTAAATCAAACGTAATTTGATGTATGAAAAGAACGTCTAATGGAAATGGAGAAATAAGTAATGAGGCGACAACCAGTACCGTCTCGCCAAAAAATCGTATATAAATAACTCACTTCTCGTTAAAAATGATCCTTCATTCTGTACGACGCCGGCAATAAGCCGAACATTCTTTTTATAGAATCCTTTTCGCAATAACTCTTCAGGTGAAAATGGTAAGAAAAAATTTGTAGGTCCACCTACAGTTAAAGATTGTCCGCCCACTCGATTTGAGCCTCTTATCCGCTCTGCACTCTAAATTTAATCAAAATCGCCAAAAGCATTCAATTTTAAATATTCAGTGAAAATCAGAACATATAGAATTACATAATGTTCATTTGTTGCTTCAATCAAATCAAAAGCGTCCATTTTCATGAATGCCTTATTTATCTCATGTAACGATGCATTTTTCGGCACATTTGCTCTATGTGCTATGTCTTTGGCGTATGAAACTGGATCCAATGCAAACGACCATGGTGCAAAAACCGAACCCGAGTGAATAATCATTTGTTGAAATAAATTATTTGGCACCAACGGACTGACAAGCAGAGATGATGCCATGCATGCACCACTTGATTGACCAATAACAGTGATTTGTTTCGAATTTCCGCCGAAATATTTGATATTTTGTTTAACCCATTTTAACGCCAATAAAATGTCAAGCGCTCCAGCGTTTCCCGGAATTTCAGCCGTTTTTGTTGATAAAAAACCTATATATGGTATACAAAACAACCTTGAATTGTTATGAATTTTATCGCTGGGTTCATCAAACAATAAACACGCTGTGCGACATAGTTTAAATGATAACAAAAATCTTGTTTACCTAGTGCATTGAGGCGATAGTTTGGAACAACTAAAACAATATCATGTTCCAAGAGATACGACGGTGGATATTCGGCATTACTTCCCGTAGCGAACGTTCCACCGTGTATGTAAACAATCACGGGATGTTGAATGATAGATGCTCGAGTGTTTGATGGAATTTTCGGTGTAAAAATATTCATGTTCAAACAATCTTCAACGTCAATGGATGGTTGATACGATGTTTGGCGTTCGCCTTGTGGACAACTTTGACCCATTTCAACAGCATCGCGAATTAACCACGGCTTTTTTGCAACTGGCGGCTAAGTTTGAGAGAATATTTTTTGGTGAAACATTCTGAGAAGCTTGTTTAAATTCAGAAATAATTGAAAATTCTCAAAACTTTTAGAGAAAATATGCGAAGTATCTGATGCTACGGAAGCGACAATTTTAACTATTTTTCTTAGTTTTTTTCAAGCAATTTTTAACGAAAACACAAAGTTGCACTTTCATGGTTTTCATTTCAAGTCATTTTCTCAGGAAAAAAAACACTGTTTACCTTAAATCGTCTTTTACCACTCGGTGCTTCGGCATATGGAACGCCCAAAAATTCATAAATAGTTCGATTTGTCCATTTAGTCGATGCTGTTTTACCTTTTAACCACCCCAAATGCGGAATCCTCACAATTGGATCATTTGGCTAGTTTTGGACGGAAAAAAGAGTTACTTTGAATTTCTCGACTCTTTTGACTTTTTCGTGTACATATGCAAATGGAAAACTGCCGAAAACTCGAGTTTAGAATTAAAATTGAAAAGATCGAATTTCAAACTCACTTGAATATTCATCTGAGCGCTCAAACCGAGGAATGTCACCAAGCTCAAAATTACTTGATCAAATCCGTTCATCTTACTTCACAAACGTGTAATCTCATACTGATTGCAAAAAAAAGTTTCGTTGCGATAAATATCGCAATTAAAAATAAACTAGATAAATAGAAATGTGTGTCGAACAGTTTTTTTTTTTGCTGTCAAATTTTATTTCGATTACATTCGTTGGCCCAGATTCGTATGTTGATTAGATTACACAAATATGTAACATGTATTTAACATGTTGTTTGAACACATCAAAAATGATATACATTAAATAGCCCACTCTTTCGGTCACCCACAAATTTGTATAAAATTCACTTCAAATTGCGTTTTTTTGTTTAAATAAAATGGTTTTTGATTAATTTAGGAAATTCCATTTGCTGACATTTGAGCTATTTTTGGATGTTAATTGAATGAATTATTATTATTTGTTTTTTTTTTCGGTGGTAAAACAGATGTCATTTATGTACCCATCTAAATCAATTACGTTTCAATGAATAACAAGGCCGGTGTGCAAAAAGACACGATTCGCAACTGAATTTCGATGGCAAATAATTTGAATGAAAAAAACAATGTTCAATGTTTTGAACGTTACAATTCGGTCCCTTTACGCGCCGATTCTTTGAATGAAACGGAACCAAATTGATTAAACTGGGCTTCATTCAATGCTGAATTGAACAGTTCGCCTTCTCCATTCATGTGAAGTCTCAGCTCTCATTCAAAATTCAGAGTATAACTCAATGGTGGAGTCGCAGCACTGTTGTAAGTCGTCGTCGGATTTTACGTGCGTTTCATAATTAAAGATTCACAAAGGCAAGCAAAATTTAGAAAAATGAAATGGTGACTTGGCAATGGCTTGGAAAGCAATACAACAGATGAAAATCAACAAAATCGGCTGAATTCTCAATTAAATCACTGATAGCATACAGAGTGAAATTCCAGATTTTGTAAGAAAAGAAACGAGTTTGAGTTTTATATCAACGACACGTATTTTTGAAAAGTTCAATAACATTGAATGAGATTAAAGATTTGATTTTATTTCACCGAGGGACAAATGTCTGACTTTCACCAACAATGAAATGTGTTGAGTCTCACCATTCAAAAATCGACAAACAACTCCAAGAAATCTGTCTGTGATATAATTGTTTGTTCAAATAAACAGATTTAATTTTAAACTTCTTTACAAAATGTGACTGTATGATCTGCGAATTCATTCAATGCGATTACATAAAATAAAATAAAATTACGTTATTTTAACTTTTCCTCTCACATCACTTGATGTGCATGAAAAAGTGTGTTATTTTCATTCAAAATAAACCAATTAGTTCTTCATGGTTTGATTCACCATAAAAATGTATTTGTCGGAGGGGGGGGGGGAAAGTCGTACATATTTTGATAACCAGAAAAACCACTTCAGAAATATATTGCAATCAAATTGAATGGATTACAATCTCAAATTGAGTGCAAAGCACCAATTTAAAAGCATAATATTTTTGTAATTCAAATGATTGATCCCAATTTATGGGCATTTTATTAAGAATTAATTTAATCTTAATTTTTGAATGGAATTTCGAAATGCGATTACTCGATTTTATTGAGTGTGAAGTTTTATGCATGAAAAAAGCAACGATAAAATCAGTTCAATATACAGTATTCGCAATTTTTTTCAGTTATTTTTTTGCGCTCGTTGATCTTTCGCTAATTTACCGCATGAAATTTATTGTGGTTGCGGATTATTTATCAGACAAATAATAAAATTAATCATTTTGCTGTTGTTCAATTTTCATTATAGAATTTAAGTGGTATGAAATCGATACAAGTATATAAATCAGTAAAACTACTATTTTTCAGCTGAATTTAAAAAAGTTTTTTTAAAGAATATGCGAAAAAATCATTGAACTTTTTTTATTCGAAGAGAAGAAAATCCAGTGTTTGTACTTTTAATTTGTAAATGAGTAAAGACAATACAATTAACCAAAAAATGCCGATATTTTTCTGCTCATTCATGCATTCCGGCCCAAACGGTGTAACCCATGTTTCCATTACTTTTTTTCGGCTCAAAAAGTCAATTTTTGCGCTTGAATATATTCCGTTGCTAAATGTGGGCAGACACCACATCGAGAAAACGAAAAAAAAATCAAATGCCACTTTTTCACATTTGATATGTTTGCATGCCAATGTTGAAATTCGATGAAAAACATTACAGGAAAAAATAACGGTTTACATAAAACCAAACTCTATAACCACACAAATTTCTGGATAAATATTTCTCTCGTTCCAGCTCTCGATTTCACCAGTAGGCACTAGGTAACTATATGGGTTTATGCAATCGCGGTATACACAACTGCGATACCTTCACCCCGTCATTCATGTATTTTGTGTGCAATGTCCCACAACCGTTTCAATCGTAACAACGTAAATATAAATATGTAAATATTAATTTCCGTTCGCAATCGTTCGATAAAATTTTATTTATTTATTTTGGCTTCGATTCCGCAATATAATTTATAGTTGAGTTTACGCCCAAAATTGCATACCCGACTTCTCTCTATCTCCCCCTCTTTATACTTTTCGCTCTTTCTCTCTCATCCACTGGATAAAATAGATCATCGAGTGAACGCGCGCACGTTGGCACTTTGTGGTTATGCTTTGTGTCGCCAAACTGCATATTTCATTTCCAATGCTAATTACAGTTTTAAATAAATTGGTCGAAATTACGAGTCTACCACTCTCTGTACATCACCTCCTCCTCCCAATATCCGTCTCTTTCTAATTTATCGTCGCTCCAAAGTGACAAGCTTTTTTCAATGGTTAGTTCCAAAATGCACATTTTCAGAACACATATTTACCCGTAATAAATTTCCAAACACTTTATTTGCATACATTCAATTTAGAATATAAGCAGTCATGCTAAATATAATTCATGCCAAATAGAATTTTGGTAGCATTAAATATCGAGACGCATCGAAATGGAATCAATCAAAAAACCGTTATGGGGCAATTTCGTCGAGAAAACGAAATTTTATGCATTTTAATGCAATTGATTTTCGGTGATATTCACACCAAAACGTGACCAAAAACCGATCGTGCTACCGAAATATTTGATTATAAGCATAATCGGGAATTGTGTGAAAAGAGAGAGAGAGAGAGACTTTGAAATTAATTGCAGAGAGATTTTAAACCATTAGCAACATTGTCATTTCGAAAATTATATTCCGAATGAAAAATGATGAAAATGGAAATAAATTCATTAAATATGTAATTGGAAGCACGAAACAAAGTTACAATTAGAGAAAAATATTTTTCTGATTCAAAATGTTGCGTGGAATGTGGGTCACGGAAAATGGTTCAGCGACTCGAAATGATGCGTCAAGTCCAATTAAATGTTGAATTTTACCTTAAATTTGTCAATTTTTTGAATTCACAACTAGAAAAGCTACAAAATGAATAAAATGTTGAAAAATTTGCTATGGACACAATTTTGAAATGAAATATATTCAATGGAATATAATTTGTATTGCACCAAATCAAATAGCAGAGTAGATCAAATGAAATAAAATTTCAAATGAGTAAAATTGTAGGTACATTCACAGTTTATTAAATAGTAATTATATTCGAATTTCACATTAAATTGTGTCATCAAAACTTTCGTGGAACCGTGACAATTAACAATCAAATATGTGGTTGCAAATATACCGTAATAAATGTGGTTGCCTGGGGTCACCGCCAAAATGACGCTTTCATTTTGTTTAATATGTCACAGCAGTGGCACTTCTATTGCATGTGCTTTTGTAGCATCAAATGTAGAGACCAAAATTAAAATTATGGGCAAAAAGTGAATGGAGTTCTATCAAAATATTCATGATTTAAATGTGAAATTCAATCGACGAATTATAATATATATTTATTATTCAGACAGTACAGGATTTGATAAAACACATATACGAACGACATTCAACGAAAATACATGGAAGTCATCAAAACCAAATTACATAACGATACCAGAAAACATATCATACGATGATGAATTTTGTAGAAAAAAGTCGAGAAAATATACAAACTGACGAAAAAAAGTCCATTTCAAGTGCCGACCCTATAGAAAGAGCGACAGTTACAATAAAAGTAATCGCACATCCGTAACAGTTCTGTCTTCTTAATGTAATTCAGGCGCATAATAGAGTATGATCGGGAGAAGTAACAATGTATGCTGCCACTATAGCATATTTTTTTGATTTTTTCATAAATCAAATTCCATATCGAACGTGATGACATCAAACGATTTTTCATTTTTTTAATTGACCATTTTTAATATTATTTGCGGTTTACTTTGTGAATATCAATTTTCGGACATCAATTAGTTTAATTCGATTGGATTACTTCTGTCTTTGATTGCATTAAAAATGGTAAATGTATGTAGTGAAAGGCCGTCTATTTGAAGTCACCGGAGAACACACCCGGAAAGTCCACATAAAGTTC